GCAAGGCCACCATGGGTCATTGCCAAGAAAATAAACCATGGAGCACATTTTAAATCTTTTCTAGAAATAAAGATAATGAAGAGAAATTTTTTCTGAATGAGCCAATGTTCCGACAGAGAACATTCAATAATGTCAGACACACGCTGAAGTCCCAAAATAGCATTTTCCCAGAGCCAAGCTTATGTGCTGGCACTCTTCAGGAAGAACTTCAAGTCTCTCATAATTCTTGGGATGTGGCAATGAGCAAAGAAGAAAAGGGATTGCTTTTCTGCTTTTTTTTAAACAGAGGACTGATTAACTTCCAAGGTTGGTCCCAGGGGGAAGACAATCTCCATTTCACTTGTCTTCCCATCTGTGCTCTGAACTCATTTCTTACACTGTATTTCCTGAAAGAGATAAAGTTTCTTCTCAAAATCTTCCTAACTTGCTGGGCCCACACCCTTTGATATATAACTGTGCAGTATCTTACAAGGAAGAAGAATGAGGAAAAGGATGAGTAGAAGAAAAAGGAGGAGGAAGAGTGTCAAATTTTGACCAGCTGCACCAAGCAGAACTGACAGTGTGCTGGTCCCAAGTGTAGACTTCAAGAAACTCAAATGCTATGTATCATTCCCTTCTACCTACATCACTGTGACAAGAGCATATCCTGTGCTCCCAGAAGATAAGAGCTACATAAAGAAAGATGTCTCCAGCTGAGATCCGCAGCCAACCATGGCATGAGCAGGGTCTCTGTCAAAGGTGTTAATAGACTGTTACAGGCTACCTGTGGGCTAATAAGCATTCTGTCTCTGTAGGGATTGGTACAGAAGCAGTCCCACCTACTCATCAGGAAATCCCCATGTTGGAAAAAAGTTGGAGACCTTCCAGGTATTCTCTACTTTAGCATTTTAGAAATGAACAAAGTTAAACACACACACATATTAAGAGCCAAAACTGAGCTGCTTGTGGGGTTTTTTTACATATATATTAAAGTAACTACTGTTAACTATCACCATCAATTCCAAAAAAAATGGGGCACTTTAATACTAAACTGAAGAGGAATATAATCCTGGAATATAAATATAGCACAGTTCTTTCTTTCTTTCTAAGCAAAGGCAGTTGGCCATCCTCCATATATGAGCCTTTTTCTTTGATTCTGTCACAGATTGATGAAAACTTGATCACTAAGTAGTTCTGTTCCATGTGTTAACAACCTCCCTACATGCTTTATGGTAGAAACTGTCAGGAAAACATGAAGTCAATTACATAAATTCTAAGACTTAAATCTAGGTTCTGTTTGTTCTGTGACAACGTAAAACTTACCCTTTTTTCCACTGAAATAGAAAGTAAAATTAAAGATAAATTTCTGTTTCCTTAGCTGGACATCTGAAGACAATATGGGTGACCATTAACTCTTTGAGAGTCACTGCTAAGCACATACAGGCAGTGTTCTATCCATATGCAAAGGGCACACAGGCTTCATTAAGTTGGACCAAGTAACTCTTCTTAAATATATTATCCAAGACAGTCTACCCAGTGAAAGAGACCATACCAGTCTTTGTACATAAAAATAACAATAAAAATAAAAACCTCTAAGACCTTGCAAAAGAAAAAAAAGATAAATTTGATCACCTCCATTGTATCTGTCCCACTGGCTACCAAGAGTACCTCTGAGCAACCAGCACAGCCACCAAACCCCACCTCCATGGGGACATTTGAACTGCACTCTGCAGCCACCTGAGACATAAGCTACTCCCATGGAGGTAATAACATACACATAGGGAAAAGAAGGTGGTGCTCCAAATAGGAGATCCACCAAGGGCTTCAGACCATACAGTGTTACAGAATGGAGGGAGGATCTGATACCAGCTCCAGGAACACATGGCTCAGTCACCCATGAGTGCTTTCTTTCTCTGGGCCATGAAGAGCTACCCCATGATTCTTTTAGCTATATGGAGGCCTAAGAGAAGGAAGATCCCCAAAAGTGGAAAGTAGTTATAAAAGTCTTGTCATTCAAAACTCCCAACCGTACCACAGACACCAGGATGCCTCTGGCTATGACACTTGTGCAATCCCAACAGGTGTCTGTTCCATCTAGAAAATTTGAGACTACTGTGTGACTCATTCTTCCCTTTCCCTGTGCCATGAAACCATTAGACTTTCCAATAGAAACAAAACCTCAGTATGAGGCCTAGATGTCTAGGCCAACAAGTGTGAGAGCAGAGTATAAAATAACCCTTAGTTGGTAGCAGCCACTGAGTCTTTGAGTTCCTGTGTTCTAAGGTACAACAAAGCCTACATACATATTGTGCCCCACATAGTAGGGATGTTATAGTGGTCTTCTAGACGTTGACAGTAATGACAGTAATAGATGATGGCAAGCTTCTCTTGGCTGTGTTTCTGAACCTGACCCCTAGACAACTGGGAGGTAGAGGTGACAGGTGAACAAAAGTACCTAAGGCATGTGTCCTGCATCTGTTGAGCATATCACCAATTAGAAAAACAAGTCATATCCCTCCCTCCCCCCCCCCCTCTCTCTCTCTCTCTCTCTCTCTCTCTCTCTCTCTCTCTCTCTCTCACACACACAGCTCTGGCCCACTAAGCTCTGTGGTGGGGTTATCATACAGCTACAAGGACCCGTACTGAGTATCAAGAACTGTTTATTTAGGACCGGAAGGCCTGGCATCTGAGTATCTGAGTGCTAATGCTCACCTACCTTTGCCCATTCCTCCATAGATACCTACTGTGCAGGCACTGGTAACACAGGCCAGGCACTTTGCTTTGCAGAGTTACATTCATACAGGAGAATAGACAATGGACATTAAGATAAATACCAATGGCATATGGGAGCTATTTGGGAATGATAGAAGACAAATTGGCAGAGCTTAAAGAAAATAGCCTTGGAAGGAAATCCAGGAAAGGCTTCTCAGAGGAGCAGATATTGCAGATGAAAAATAAGGCTGTCTATGCCAGGCAAAGAGCTGGGGGAGAGACAGCGAAGGCAGGCAACATCATTGCAAGAACAAAGGGTCTGAGCTGGAAAGGAGGGTAGCTCATTTAAGAAGAAAAGAAAAGCTAGAGCTCTAGGCAAGGGGACACAGGTGATTGACAGAAGTTTGGTGTGGGGAACTACTTGTCACCTGGGCCTGGTGGACCTTGGACCAGGGTTTAAAGGGTTTTGTTTTTTGGGGGGATTTTGGTTTTTTTTTCTTTTGTGCCTGTATAAAGAGAGGTAAGGAATAACACGGCAGAGATGTGATAGGATCCAACTGCATGTAAGAGTCCCATAATGCTTTGTGAATGATGAGCCAAAAAGAAGACAGACCAAGGAAGACCAGAAGTACCATCACCTTGGTGACCTTCATCTGAGCTGCCTGCAGCCTGCATTCAGAGTCCACATGCTCTTTGGGCTCCAGCAGACTGGAGTAAAGGTTCAGATAGTTTTGCTCAATTAGCACGTTTTTGTGCTAAGCATTTCTGGTTCCTTTCTCAGAGCTAGAGCCATGCCTAGTACATGCCCATGAGGGCATTCCTTTGCCAGATGCCAAGCAACCATCAAGATACCATAACTCTGTATCAGCATGACACTAGATTCATCCCTCCCACTGGATAGACTTGAGAGGACACAGAACTTGAGAGTCTGGACTAGGGAGAGCAGTTCATCACCAACACAAACACAGGAAACACAGGCCAAGATAAGGCTCTCCAGTCCACTAGGAGATTTGACGGTAGAGAAGCAGGCATATGGGGTCAGGTTGGTAATAACAGTGTCAGGAGAGGTCTATTCTGACAGGAGGAGTCCTAAGCTTTCCCTAGTAAGGGAAGGAAGGCTTAGAGAACAAGGTCAAGGTGCAGAACACAGAGAAGGTTCTCCTAGGCCAGTCAGACTTAGGTGACCTTCTGACTACCCAAAGGAACATCAATGAGATCATCCAAAATCATCTGAACCAGGTTAGAACTGTACAATCAATTCAGACACACGTGAAGAAATAAAAAAAGGTCTACTTGCTTTAAGGTATAGTACTTTGAAGCTGTTCATTATGCAGCAATAGCTAACTAATACTGAGAGAACTCAAAGCCAGAAGCTATTGCTAATTTTCTGTAGCAAAATCTCTGGTGAAGCCACAGTCATGTTTGTTTTCCTATGTGAAGCTACTGCATATTCAGATCACTGAACAAAGGTTATGGACCTTGAGATTCATTCTTATCATTAACTTTACACATTATCTAGTGCCTTTTTGGAAACACCCTTCTATCTTTGAACTTTGGTTTTATATCTGTAATGAAAAGATTGGAAGATTCTTTTTTTAAAAAATGATTTATTTATTTATTTTATGGGTATAAGCACACCATTGCTCTCTTCAGACACACCAGAAGAGGGCATCAGACCCCATTACAGATGGTTGTGAGCCACCATGTGGTTGCTGGGAATTGAACTCAGGACCTCTGGAAGAGTAGTCAGTGCTCTTAACCACTGAGCTAGCTCCCCAGCCCAGAAGATTTCTAAAGAGCTGTCTTGTCAAATGCTCTGTACATAAGTGACTCTGAACTCTGCATCTATGAATCTGGCATCTAACCAAAATGCATGTTTTTTTTCCAGAGTAAACAACCTACCATGCTATGGCTATGGTTATGAACAGAGTTGCAGATGCAACAACAACTATGACTGGTGTTGGCTCTGCCTGCTCACCAGTAGCCTGGGGCACCTGGGCTTACTGTCCAATGAGTACAAAGGTATAACCTGGCAGGTGACTTGAAAACCAAAGAGCCCAAGTGCTGATGACAACAGAAGGCAAGAGTCAGGTTCACAGCTTCCTTAGAAGACAGAGAGGATACATGTCCAGCATCCCAATGACCCCGGACTTATGGATTCTTGACAAGTGTTGGAGAAAGAACTGAGGTAACATGGACCCCAAAGTTCTCTACGCCTCTAGTTACAGCCATCCTTCAAGACCTCTTCTATCTGAGAAAGAGTTGGACATGTGAGCATCATCTGCAGTGGGGCCCAGAAAGTATACTACCATGAAACCAGGGGGCGATGGACTTGGTGTTCCTCTCAAAGCCAGCTCGGCGAGGCAACTGTTCCTCCTTGAACCAGCGCACGATGACTTCTCTGGAGAGTGGACGCAGAGGTCGCTCCCAGGTCCTGCAAGGAAGAAAGAGAGTGAGGGGAGGATAGATAAAAGAGGAAGAAGAAAAGGAAGGAGAGGGATATGTTCGAGAAAAGGAAGAAGTTGAGTAGAAAGAGATGGCAGAGCAGATAAAGGCATTTGCTCCCAAGTTGGGCCATGTGAGTTTGATTCTAGGAACCCACACGCAGAAAATTGACTCTCACAGGTTGTCCTCTGACCTCCACATTCATGATATCTTGTGTACATGTGTGTGTGTGTGTGTGTATGTGTGTGTGTATGTGTGTGTATGATTGATTGATTGATTGATTAAAAGTTTTAAAAGCATAGAATGGGAAAGGCACTTCTAATTATTCTCCCAGATTCAGAAAACACACAAGAAATTTATCTCATAAAAATCATGTATTTCTGCATGCTAGACTATTCTACCTCCAAATATCAAAAAATAAATGACAAATTGAGAAAGCAGATTTGTCAGAATTTTTTTCGCTACCTTAGGGAAATCCTAGATATGGACAAAGAAAGCATGGCACATACAACGAAAGAAGGATGGACTGGACCTCAGATAGAGAAGAAAATACCATGGTCCTGCAACATTTGTGAATTGCTTAGTCTGGCTCCTAGACACATGTGAGCATTGAAATGTACCCCAAGACATATTTCCTCAAACAAGGTTGACAGAAAAACAAGGTGGGCCAGGTGCAAAGCATAGGTATTAGCCCTGTGCGGGACCATTGAATCTCAAAAGCACACAGCCCTGCAGCAAAGACCCTGCTTGGGAGAATATCTTTGCAGATTATGGTTGCCCAACGTAAAATTAATTTCTGCAAGTTTATATACACAGAGCACTGTTGGTGGTTGCAAAAAGATTTGAAACAGCAATGTTTGACAGACTGATGGAGTCTCTGATGACTAATAGCAAATCCACACCACAGAACACAAGGTAGCAATTAATGAAAAGAGGAGAAGCAAGGTTGTTTGCTTGCTTGGTGTTGGTAGCTGCACAAAGAAGCCCAGGGGTTAGGATGAGGTACAGATAAGAAGCTGAGAGCAGTGTCTACGGTGGTATAGTGAAGAGATGGTACCCAGGGAAGGAATCAGATTTCTCTATGAACACCAGACCTTCTAGTTTAGCAGTCGTACATGATGAGGAGTGAAAAAAGGAAGGAAGGAAGGAAGGAAGGAAGGAAGGAAGGAAGGGAGGGAGGGTGGGGAGAGAAGATGGAAAGGCAGAGCAGCTCTTACTAGACTCTAGAGAAAGGGAGTTGTAGGTTATGAACAACCCCAAAGTCCAACCAGAACAAAATTAGACAAACCACATTATCTGGGGGTGAACTGATTCCTGAACATTCCCCAAGGACAAGGGAGCCACAAGCATGCAATCCCGTATCTCTGCTCCCCAGGAAGTAGCTGTTCTGCAGGATAGCCAAGGGGCCTTGAGATAAGAGGCCAGATCTCATGGCTGTATAGCAAGACAGGTAGAAGATGGAGAGGCTCCAGGTGACCTGTGTCTTTGGCTTTGCCAATCATGGGTTGTCACTGAAATGTCCTAGACAAACAACTCCTCTGGGGTCACAAATGTGTGCAAGGACCTCACAATCTATCCATTCTACTGTGAAAACCTGCTATTCAAACTACATACAAACCAGCTCCATCCATGGTTAGAAAAAGCTATGGTCCTAAGTCTCAGATACTGGGCCATATTCATTCCATCTTAGGTCTCTCATTGCAAGGTTTTGACCAAGGTTAAGGAGTCTATAACTATGGAAACATTTGGAGTGTTTGTATATGCAGATTTTGAGGGAAAGAAGCTATATAGCTTTCTTTAGATTATCAAGGATGACAAGAATCCTTGACCTCTGAAAGTTTAACCCCCAAATTGCTAATTTGTTTGAAAGGTCCATAGTCTACCTGTTTCTATGTTCTGCCCATTATATAGACTGGAATGCTGAGGCCCTGAAAGGCAAATATCCAACAAGCAACCAACAGCCTGTAGTAGAACCCATGGAGCTTTCCTCATGGGTCACAGCTCTTCTTAGAGTATAAGTATCCTAACATACCTGTCAGGTCCTGTGAGGGATGATGGTGGACTGGTGCCAGGAAGCTGGTGATAGAGTCTTGCCTCCTGCTCGTGGTTCTGGCCAAGTTCTTGGAACATGGTGCTCAAGCCAGCAACAGTGCCCTTCTGGATGGCTCGGAGTGAGTGGCGCCGGTACTCATCCCGGGCTCGTTGAGCACGACGGCTCCTCTCCTCATCAGCCGCCTTGGATCTACGCACTGGAAAGGAAAACAGATTGGTTGGCCTTGGCCCACTGTCCATGCTGTACACTGGGTAAACACAGACAGCATTGTATACAACTTACGTGGAAATCCACGATTCCCTGGGAAGCGGTCACACAGAACCCCATGGTCTACAAGACACTTGCCTCCACTACAGATATAGCAAGGCGCTCCCAGCTGTATGCGCATGTTCGTACGTGGGCGGACGCGTGCGTGCATGAGTGCGTGCCTGCATGTCTGCGTGCCAGCGTGTCTGCGTGCCTGCGTGCCTTCGTGCGTGGGTGCCTGCGTGCCTGCGTGCGTGCGTGCGTGCATGGGTGCGTGGGTGCGTGGGTGCGTGCGTGCGTGCGTGCGTGCATGCGTGCATGGGTGCGTGGGTGCTTGCATCGGTGCTTGCGCGAGTGGGTGGGTGCGTTCCTGTGTGGGTGGGCGTGTGGGTGGGTACGTGGGTGGTTCGGTGCATTCATGAGTCTGTAGCTAGCTGTTAAGGAAAGTCTGGGGTTGGAAAAGTGAAGACCAAACAAAGCCTATTGGAATCAAAGGCTTCTGTTTGAACTGGTTATCCTGAAGTCTGACCGCTTCTTGCTAGGTCTCTACCTTCCTCTAAAATCCGAGAGTTCTCAATAAAGAACACTGGAAGCTGACCCCAGACTTCAAATTGTGCAAAATTAATGATTACACTGACCTGGCAGACCACATCCCCTTCCAAGAAGGAAAATCTTACTTAATCTACTCAACATGATCACAGGCTTCTACAGTCCTCTAGAAACCACACTTTGTCAGAATTTGGAGGACACAGTGAGTAGTTCTAGTCCACTAAGAATGTTTCTCCTTCACAGGTGGGCAGGAGCCTTTCCTGAGAATTTTGCATCTCCCAGATCCACATAGCCTATGCCTACAGAAGAATGTACAGAGTGATGTCACACACAGAATATCTCCTGCATTTTGAGCTTCACAGAAACAGGTACTTTGGCCTGCTCATTGCCCAACTCCAGTGTCTGGAACAGACTTGGCAGACAAGATAACATTCTAGGTGATAAGGGCATCTGGTATGTTAGGGAGATGGTTCATGCTTACCATACAAGAGTGAAGACATGAGTTCCATCTCCAACACCCTATAAAAAGTAGACATGGTGGCATGTGCCAGAAATCTGGGGAGGCAGAGACAGAGAATCCCTGGAGCTTTCTAGCTGAATCTGTGAGCTTCAGGTTTAAGGAGAGACCATTTCCCATTTCAAAAAACAAAGTGGGAAGTGATAGAGGAAAAAATTTAAAACCACCGGCCTCAGCATACATAAGCATGTGCATGTGCAGATACACACACATACACATGTATGCACATACTCACATTTTTAAAATTAATAATTTTAAAAAGCATTCTACGATTTGGCTCTGCGTTTTACTCTAGGCTGGATAGAGAGAAGATATGGAAACAGACCCTTTTCAACCACTCTGATCAAGCTGGGGAAAGGACAGATAAATAGCACTAACCTAATGAAAATGGTCATGAGTGTTGTTTTAAAACAGGAAGAAGAAAAACCAGGGTCCACAGCATTCATAATGTACAGGGACCAGGGCTGCCAAGGGATAATCAGCCCTGGCCTCTGCTGTGTACGAGGTGGTCTGTTTCCATAAAAATTCATGTTGGGGTGTAGGGCCTTTAAGTGAGACTGGATTCACCTTCGAACGGCTGGATTAATTTTCCTGGGACTAGATCAGTTCTTGGGAGACAAATGTCTAAAATAGATCAGCTCCTTTGTCCCCTCTCTGCCTCTGCCTGCTCTCAGGCAGAGAATAAATCTGTTTTCCTTGTGAAATTACTTGAATCTCGTGAATTACAGTGAAAGACAATGAACAAGATAGTATGAAAAGATCAATTACTTTCTAAAGAAAGGAGGTGGGGAGACCATTCCAAGAAGAAACTCTGAGCTTTGGTGATCCAGTGACTCATCTGTAGGTCTCTGGCAGTAAGAATTCTGTGACACCTGCTTGCACTGTGGGCAGAGGGTTAGACAGGGTCAGGAAATCCAGGACTGACTTCACTATCATTGTGGAGTGAAGTATTGGAAGCCTCTGCCATACAAATACAAACAGCTACATGAGTTTACAGTCCCTAAGAGACAATGTAGAGGGACATAGAGATATAGGTGTTGTTCCTGAACTCCTACCTGGTATGGGGCAATATTATTTTTTAGTTTTCTTTCCCTGAAAAATAGAGATGGTGCCATCCTTAGTCCAAGGATGCTGGGCTATTCCAGAGTGGCATCCCTTCCACTCTAACACTGAGGAAACACAGCAATGTCTGCTTTCCTTCTTGGCAGAATCTGCTTAAGTGGACACACAGCTCTAGAAGTGCAAAGAGTGTTTGAAAGAGTGTCACCACTTCAAATAGCATGTTGGTCAGGTGTGGTGAGACAGTCCTATATCTCTAGGACCCTAGAGGCTGAGGCAGGGGAATTTTGAGCTTTAGCATAGCCTGTCTTTATAAGAAAGCCCAGTCACAAAAACATGAATGGATGAATGAATGAATGAATGAATGGAATAGTCATTCATTTGGTTGTATTTAGTTGTCAACATGTGCCAGCTCTAATTGAATAGGGCTGCCACTTATAATTATACAACTCAAGCACCATACAACTCCAGGAGACCCAGTTACAGTGTTCAGCCCTCAGAGAACTTACAGTCTAGTGGGAAAAACCTCACTAAACAGTGGTGCTGTGGTGGGGTGTGTACTGAACCTTAGGGCCCCCAGAGGAGGGACATCTCGTGCAGACATGGGTAGCTTCTGGAAGTGAGGAGAGGTCTAAGCTGATGCCTGGGAGATTCAAAAGATGTGACCAACAGTGGCTAAAGGAAGAGATTTCTTAGTAAAATGGTCTTAAAGGCTTGAGGTGTCCCTCCTAGTACAGTACGGCATCACTGAAGACATGTAAGGCAGAAAAAACCACTGACAGGAACGTGATGCTATTGTGTTCTAATGCTGTCTTGAAAGATAACTGGAAGCCACTAGAGGGCAGAGTTCGGTCTGCAGTTTCAAGAGGTGGCTTGAGCTAAACTGCAGTGGAGGGACCCATGAATGAGAATAGGAAGCTGCAGAAAACAGGAATTCACTGAGGGAGGAGAATGCCTGAAGCAACCACAAGTATAAAAGCAAAAGGGAGGAGGGGGAATGGGATAGGGGGTTCAAGGGAGGGGAAACAGGAAAGGGGATGACATCTGAAATGTAAATAAATAAAATATCCAATTAAAAAATAAAAATAAATAAATTCAGAGAGAAAAAAACTGGCAGAATCTGTACAGTTAGTTTGGATTATTATTATTATTATGATTACTATCATTGTTTACTTCACTTACAGGGATGTGGCAATGGAATAGAGTATGTGTGTATAAGTCAGAGGGCCACAGTGGGACTCAGTTCTCTTTTCACCATATGAATCCCAAGAATTGAACACAGGTTATCAGCCTTGGCAGCATTTGCCTGTACCCACTGAGCCAGTCACAAGCTCCCTTGGTCAGGTTTTAATACTGAGACTGAGCAGAAGGGGGAGACCTAAAGGCCAGTTCCCTGCCTTTTAAAAATTACAGTGACTGATTGAATGATTGAATCATTTATTGTGTGTGTGTGTGTGTGCACATGAGTGTGTATCTGTGTGTTTGTGTATGTGTTATATATATAAATAGTTAATTTCTGATTTTTTGTGATTTTTACTTTGGTCCATTTGAGTCAGGATCTCTCTAGATAGCCTTGGCCAGCCTGGAACTGGCTATGCAGACTCAATCAGACTCCAACACAAAGAGATCTGTCTGTCTCTGCCTCCTGAGTGCTGAGAGTAAAGATGTGTGTCACCAAACCAAGCATCTCTCTGTGATTTTGAGCAAAGAATTAACTAACTATATTTTCTTTTCCTGACCAGAAAAGGAAGGCTTCATGGACTTGCTTTGAGGTCTCAGTGAGGAGTTTGCTCATGTCCTAGCACAGAGGAGTGCATTAAACATATTCAGGGTTCTTACTGTGTATTCTGGGGATTGAACACATCATTTAGAAACAACTTGTCCTTTGGTGGAGGTGGGAAGGGGAATGATTAGTGGGGAGGAGGGCATTTAGGTAGAACCAGGAGTTCCTACCAGGAACAGAATAAATGAACACATGGAAAGAACAGCTTCTTAGCCTCTGAAGAGGCTGTTTAGGGCCTCCATTTTCACAGATGTCCTGTGACTCAGCCTGTAGCGGGGACACCTACATAAATCAGTGCCTTTAGCAATAAAGATAAAGCCTGAAAAGTGAGCATCAAAGTTTAAGAAAGCAAGTGAGATCCATCCACAGTTAAGCTGGTCGAATGAAGCCTTGGTCTATCACAAGCTTTCTAGGGACGCTATCATTACCCACTTCGCTCTAGCTTAGCTTGATGCCTGACAACAGAGATGCCTGTGGTGACCAAGGCCAACTGCTGGACCCTTTTAGGATCCAAGCTCTTCTCAGGCCATATCGATAGAACAGTGATTGCCTTGGGAAAGCTAAATAAGGCCCTGGGATCTGTGAGTAACTCCACAGGAGAGGGAACCCCAAATACAACCTAAATTAGGTATACAAAAGTTAAGATGAGTACTAGTCAATGTTTTAACATTGAAAAAGGCACTCAGAGTTGAGAGGGCCCCTGGTTTATGATGGTTGAATGTATGGTGGTTTTATAAAAGTAATATAAATTCAGTCAAAACTGTACTTCAAATTTTGATTTTTGATCTCTTTTCAGGCTAGCTATATGCATATATATCTGCATGTGTGCATGCATGTGTATGTCCATGTGTGCATATGTGTATTCTGATACTGGTCAGTAGCTCCTACCCAGCCGGGAGATCTGAGAAGATCACAACCTGTATCCTCTCAGTGGGCCGTGTTGATGAGCTAGGGTGTTCTGTAGTTTAGGGTTATGATTAGGTCACAATTTCAACTTCAGGCTTCAGGGACATAACTTTCATATAAGTTGAAAAACTGTGGC